ACTCTAGGTCAATTATGGAGTAGTTATGGGCTAATGTTTTGGCCCGGGGCTTGGTTGTTGTAATCTTCAGTATGTTTATATCACTCTCTAATTTGATTCCTCTAGCATGTTGAGAACTTGTTAGGAGCAACTCTAGCAGAGTCGCCAGAAGAGCATGGTCAATTACCGACTATATAAAGTTACCACGTCACATATAGTCAACCTGATAGCCAATATGTATAGTAGCTACTTGCTAAGTAGTATTAGTTTATTACTTACTACATGACCCACCTTACACTCTCACAATGTTTCTTGGAGTCCGTGCTACGGCCGACTGTTAATCTACAGCCTGCTTCCCTTCTCTCTCCTCTTCTCTCATCCAAATCAGCTGAAATATAATAGTTTAATCCTTGCAGCCTGCTGGCTGTACCTTATTACACTTGCTCTAATATCGATAATAATATGGAGGCTGCCAAGGCCACGTGGAAACTCAGAATCACCATATATCATAGCCTCCAAAAAAATTCCAGTGTGGGACCCGTTTGTCTTTGGCTATAAGATCTATTCCTTCCCCTCCTCAGCAATAGAAATCTTTTTGTACTAGATTTCAACATGGATTACAGCTAGGTTTTGAACAACCATTTAAACTACAATTCTCTACTAGAATTTGAACTATGACTCTTGCTCCATTTGGAAGTGACCTCGCAGGCAGGGGCTTCCGCTGCCGTGACTTCCACGGCTACGCGGTCGACGACTGTGCGTCCTGGATACGAGACAAGGCCACAGTTTTGAAGGCCGGCATGAGTGCGGCGCCATTTCTGCCTAGGTGGCCGTTGACATGTGATTGAAGTAGGCCATGGAGGCGGGCACGGCCGGCGGCTGATTCAGCCTTACGACTAGCGTCCTCATCAACCCGCTGGGAGTAGTCCCATGCCCTCTCCCAGAACTCTCTCGACGCGGCCCTCTTCACTCTCGCCTGGGAAAGGTTTGCGAGGAGGGAGCGACTGTGAAGGGCGAAGATAGGGGGTGTGATCGCAGCCGGCGAGGGGACCGATGGGAGTGAGTGTGACGGCGACGGGGATGGAGGAATATAGGGGCGTGGGGTGGCGCCGGCGAAGGAAGGCGATGGGGTTTATATACCCGCGGATGTGTGTCCTCCGACGGGAAACTGGGGCGGATTACACGCGTGCGGGTGGCAAACGGGTGTGAAATGAGGTGGCGACCATTAATTGACGCTCTTCTAGGTGGAAAAGCGGCTCCGCCATTGGCATGGAGGAAGCAGCAGCCGTACGGACGGCAGAGGTTGGGGTGAAACTTCCCTCCCGCTCGAACGGTTGCCGATGGAGGCCGCTCCATATCATTGGCCCCAGCCTCCAAATATGGAGTCTCACGGGCTCAATTGGAGCGCGCTTCATAAATTATGCAGGCCGAGGGGCGTATGGAGACTCCGCTAGGGCAGCCTTTTTGGCTACGATTGCCATACGGACGGTTATTATGGCGATCGGCCCAATATGGCGACTCTGCTAGAGTTGCTCTAAGCTGCACCCCTTTGTAATTAGGATATATCGATCAATCGAGATTCACATGTTCAGTGTTTTGCTTATCTGGCCCAAGTTTGTTTTCACTTGTAAAAATGAGCAGGAAGCATTATCTAACAACTTCAAAACATTAATTAGAATTTGTAGAACAAACTTTTCTCATAGATTAGCATCGAAGATCTGCAATTTGATGATATGTTTTATGCTTTTTTAATGCAAAATATGTTTAAGTTGTAAGATGTTGCACTAGTCAACAAATTAGATTATCCTTTCGGGGCGAGATTGGTCAGTTGGCCGACAAACTTTCGGTATTGAGGTACTTGCTGTTATATCCTACATTTAAATTTCATTTATAGTTTGATAGAGTTTCATGTGTTTTATGGTTTCTTGATGATCTGGCTTAACTAGAGTTCGCATTGAGATTCTATTGCTACTAGTACACGTGCATTGCACGCGTGAGATTTGGTAACCAAAGTATGAATAAATACCACATTATAGCATGTAAGCTTTGAGTCATATATGCATGATGTAGATATTCATTTAATTCTTATAGTTCATCTCATTCAAAATCAATTAGTTTTATAAAAGAAGTTAATATATTTTAAGATACATGGATATTGTGCATTGTAAAGCATAAAGTAAAAACAAATAATGGCAATTCATTTAGAAAAAAAAGTTTGGACAATTATGATATGGAGATTCTAGAACAAAGGAGAAGTGCTTGTGTTTTGAGGTTTATGCATTATGCTGAAGTTCAACCATGGAGTCTTCTAGATTGTACATGTGGCAAAATCTGGTGGAGTGTAGATGATATCCAACGGCTAGTAGTGCTCGGATTTGCCATCTCTGCACCATCGGATTGGCTTCATCCAACGACCAACTTTTAAAGTTATTCGCACACTATATAGGGGCATAGAAAATGGATATTGTGTGGCCAAGTTTGCCTGATAAAGAAATTAGAATTTGAATACATATAATTTTGAGACTTCTAATTCTTTTGTTGTCATGTATTTGTAACATCTAATTGTAATACTGATTTCCTCAAATCTAATTGTATAATATGGAAGCATGAGCCTATGAGGGGAAAACTTCTGATCTTACATCACACTACTCGTTTACACTTAGAATAAGATGGTTTAGTGAAATACAGTGAAGGTCATGCTATGATGTTGCCTGGAAACAAAGAGGATTCTGTTCTCTTATCTAAGTCAGACAGTATGCATCTGTAATGGTATTTCCATGGCAATGGATGGTCACTTACCCCGTTTCCTTTTTTTCTTTTTACTTTGTTCCAGTCATTATATGTTGTGGTCTTTGAAGTTCAACTTGGTACACTTCGCTCTTGACCTTTCAAAATATGTATTGCTGCTTAATTCCTTCTTTTGACCCCACTGTCTTATAAAGTTATGTCATGTATGCCTTGCCTTAGAGCACGAGCAATGCGGAAAAAAAACAGAAACCTGCGCTCTAGTGGTGGTGACGAAGGCGGGATAACTTCTGGTCTATCAAGTAGACACCCATTCTCGATTCCTAAGCGCAATGGATTTGTTTCTGTTGGCGAAAGCTGTATTCTGAAGACAAATCATTTTAAACCATCGACTTATTGTGACAATATTTACCGATATGAGGTAAGATCTTGTCCATGGAAACTTGTGATATCATATGAAGTTCTTTTGATCACAACGATCTTTCATTTGTGACATTTTATAGGTATTTATGAACTATGAGTTTCTGTCATCTGGCCCCTCTCATGCTACCGCCATCTCATGTGGTGTCAAACGTGCTGTTATGAGAAAGCTTTGCAAGATGTATAGGGAATCACATTTGCGTGGCCGGCGTCCTGCATAGGATGGAAGGAACAGGTTATATGCATCTGGACCGTTTTCATTTGAATCTGAGACCTTTGTTATAACATTACAAAATGAGGAAGATAGTCTTGATTATGGGCAAACCCCACAGAGGTATGATATTCTGGACATATATTTGTAACATTTAATTGTAATACTGATTCCTCGATCTAATCTGCAACCTGATACAATCAATGTTGCTGCTAATCTCAAGGCCCACGACAGTGTTTTCTGTCACGATAACTTACAATGCATTTTTGACCGGAGCAATTGACAGTGAAGAATTCATTCAAGCATGCAACACTGTTCTGTGTGAATCTCCGATTGAAGGGTTATTCTGTTCTCACCATCTTTTTCAGTACCATTATATCTGTCGAACTGCTGAGATAATCTTTTTTTTTGTGTGTAGGCATTTCCGAGTCGGTCGATCATTTTATCGATCTAGTGCGATGTTCCACTAACTTGGTGGAGGCTTGAAAGGCTGCTGTGGTTTTTATCGAAGCATACAACGCAGTCAGATGGGACTTTCACTAAATATCGGTTAATCCCAAGCTCGAGCTTCTTGTTTCATATTCCAGTTCCGAGTTCCCCTTCTTCACAATAGTAATTGTGGTTATGTTGCAATGCTTGCATGTCAGAATTGAGTCAAAGTAGATCAACTGTTCGATGATTTAAATGTTCATACCTTGCTTTGGTTAAGCTGATATGATTGTATTGGCTTCTTAGAAGTTAGTTAAAAAAAGGGCAGCCCGGTGCACGTAGCTCCTGCTTGCACAGGGTCCGGGGAAGGGTCCAACCACTTTGGGCCTTTTGTGTGCAGCCTTTCCCTACATTTCTGCAAGAGGTTGTTTCCAGGACTCGAACCCATGACCTCATGGTCAAAAAGAGGCTTCGTAGAAGCTGGAAGTAATAAATTCTGAACATAAGAAAGAGAAAAAAAAAAGCTCCGAACCATTTTGTTTTGACTATTAAGAATATATTATGTGGGATCATCACGTTAGTTAGTTCTGGGGATCCATGCAGCTGCAAGAGAAGAAACCATAGTTATGGAGGGCATCATTTAGATTTGATTTAGGACTCTAGTTCTTGGGATCGTGCAGATGCGAGATAAGTGGTTTACTGTCATGGTACATAGAGGGCACTAATCAGACTTGAATTTGGACTCATTTCTTACAGAAATGTAGGGAAAGGCTGCGTACTATAGACCCAAAGTGGTCGGACCCTTCCCTGGACCCTGCGCAAGCGGGAGCTACATGCACCAGGTTGCCCTTTTTTTTTCCCGAGAAAAATGCAAATCTTGCGCCTTGATGCTTTATAATGGAAGAATATGTACATGCTTTAAGTGAGCCTGAGGTAACAGCACATGTAGGCAACAGCTTTTGAGCCTTGATACACAATATTGAATATATCGATTGCGTGGATGAACAATATTGGTGAGAGGCGATCCCCCTGACCTTGCTGACTTGGTGATTGAGGAGCTTTGTATATCACGGTGCGAAACAGCAAGGCAATCCAGGCTGTGAACTGTATGCTAAAGCCAAGCTTTCGGAGGACCTCAAAACGATACAATCGAAGGAGCACTGATATCCAATTTGAGGACAACTGAGGAGCTTTGAACCTTGCCAGGAACTGCGCCATGAGCTGTGCCAACATGAAATTGTCATGGATGCTCCTATCGTGCAATGAAGGCTCCTTGGTTTTGCATCTTCATTACGTCGAGCTTGGGTGCAGGTGGCGGGCTAAAACCTTGGCTATGAGATGTATAGATGGTCTGTACTCCTGAAATTTTGCTACATCTTGACGCTTAGGGAGGATGGTGAAGAGAGCTTCTATTCACGAAATATATGGGAATGCATGGAGCTGCAAGATGATGATTTTGACAATCTTAAATAATAATAATAATAACAATAACAATAACAATAATAATAATAATAATAATAATATTAGTAGTAATATATATGTTTTGACATTTCTTTCACACTAGTTATGCATATTAAATTGGAAATAATATGCAAACATTCTATTCCGCCATAAGGTGGCCATGAAATTGACTCTTCATACCTTCCTGCAGATACTTCCTATAAAGCATTCATCAAGCCTCAACTCGTGATTGATTTTGTTGCCGAGCTTCTTTGCAGACGCATCTCCGATGGCCCCATAAATTATATTGAACGCCTGAAGGTGTTGTCCTTATATTATGGTGTTTTATACTTCAACTTTGTCCTCACTTTCTTAATAACGGCTGAACACTTCCGTATTAGTAAGTTTGACCCTTTGCTAATTGACAGATCGCGAAAGCTTTGCATGGTATAAAGGTTTATGTCACACATAGGGGCGATGTGCGTAAGAAGTACCGTATATCTGGCCTTTCATCAGAAGGGGCAAGCAAGCTATCGTATGTATTTTGAGCATACTCATATATAAAGCTTGTCTTATGTCTTTGACAGTGCTGACTGAAGATAGAGAACTCTGGTATGCTAACGTTATTTGGCTGGTTTGTCTTTTGATAGTTTTCCAGTTGGTGATCATGGAACTCAGAAGACAGTAATGCAATACTTCCAGGAGAAACATGGCTATGATATTCAGCATTTTGTTTTGCCTTGCTTGCAAGTTGGTAATCAGCAGAGGCCAAATTACCTGCCAATGGAGGTTAGTATCCTAAATTTCTGTTTTCAAGATTTTAAGTACCATGTTTAACATATTCAACAATATCACAATTGTTATGTACTCCCTCCGTTCGGAATTACTTGTCTCGGAAGTGGATGTATCTAGATCTAAAATACGTCTAGATACATCCATTTCTGCGACAAGTAATTCCGAACGGAGGGAGTATAACTTCATGTCATAACAATCTGATTTGCATTACTTTGAAACTTTAGGTCTGTAAGATAGCCGAGGGACAACACTACAGAGAACAGTTAAATGAGGAACAGTTATCTGCTCTTCGTGAAGTTACTTGCCAGCGCCCCATAGAGAAGGAACTGGCCATTTTACAGGTAATCGTACGAATGGTTGCAGTGTAAATTATTTAGAATGGTTCCTGCTGTATGTTTATTTCTTCCTTCAAATTTCTTATTTAATTAGTGACTTTGTTGTTCATTTTATTCAATATACACGTGCACTTTTTCCACCAGCAACTACTTACCATACAATGTAATGGGGGAAGGGTTAATCTTATCGTTGGAATAAGAGTTGGGGAAGTGGAGTATATATAGGTGCAACAAGAATTTAAATTTCCGTTGCTAGAAGTTGCTTGTACTATGGAATATGGACAGCCCATTATTTCTTGGTGGACCACTATATGTTTGTAGATATTTATGCATAAACCTGTATTGATTGTAAATCTTTTTATCTGTGGATTTTCTACCTTGATCGAAGAAGTCCAGTTAATCTTGAAGTACTATGCAATAGCAACTTAACTGCCTGAAATGGGAAAACCTAGTATGCATGAAGTTTATCCTTGGCATATCAATCATTTACTAGAAGGGGACACGTGCCTTTGTTGCACTGTTTTTTAATAAGGGTTTTGAGTTAAAGGCCGACACTACAACGGACAAGAACACAACTTGATGACGCGAATGACCGACGATCAACTGCCAACAGCACCCCTGAACCCTCAAACAACCTGAAATCCTGAATGCATAAAAATCCAGCCCCAAAATGTCACCACCCTAACCCAGCACACCAACAAACCTAGCAATGCAAACCAGGGCAGTAATTAGGGCAATAGAGGAATAAAAGAGCAAACTGAAGGCACGTAGCGGAGGCAGGAGCCGACACCACGGCAGACAGGAACATTAGTCGACAACGTGAATCAACGACGAACAACCACCAAGAGGCAGTGCGCGTAAGCTGTAGTCCCCTTCATGACTGCCTAACCCTTGGAACTGCTTAGCTGTAAGAACAACTGTAGAGGTGACCAAGTGGCAAGCCCTAACTAGGGAAATTTCAGGACTAAACTCGGTGAATTCAGGGCAAAATCATATGGAGAAAGCTTTCTCGTAGATGAAGCAGTATATATTTATTTACCCTGTCAGGGTTTAGTAGATGGCGGATAGATATGAGTGATCCTGTTAAGTAGGTGTCGAGCGGGCAGGTAGTTTGGTGAGTTCTGTCTAGGCACGTGTCAGCTCACCGCCGAAGATACAACTTTACTGACATCGTCTTGGAGGCGTTTCAAGTTAATAAGAGGTAGCTGGGCGAACAACACAGAAGGAGAGGCAACCCTTGCCGACAAGCATCACCAGCTCGACACCTCACGGCAGAGTTAGGTATGATAGCACTTGGGCCACTGTTTACGGTGTGTATTTACTATTTTGCTATTGTCGTGACCCCTTCATCCATAAAAGGAGGCCCATGGCTACCTTTCAAAAGGTCAACGACTTGCTCATTTCACTCCCGTAGCTGCACTTCACGCGCACCTTGCCGGCAAGTTGCGCTCCTTGTACTTGAGCTCAACACATCCAATCCAATACAACCAAAGCAGGAGCAGGGTTTAGCACCTCATGGTGGCCCGAACCTGGGTAAATCTCTACAAATGGATTGGCCAACCATGTTGGATGTAGAACTCCTTTGACCAATTCTGCTGCTTCTAGCTTTTTAATTTTTTCGGCAATAAACTCTTGCCGCTCCAAGGCTTGCTTCCTGACCTTTTGCTTGACGGGTCGTGCATGAGGGCAGATGGCAAGGTGGTCCTCAATTACTTCCCTGGGAACATTAGGGATGTTAGATGGTTGCCATGCAAACACATCGACATTCACTCGTAGGAAAGCAATGAGCGCGCTTTTCTATTTGCTGTCAATGGTGGCACTTATGGTGAAGGTGCCTCCCGCGCCATCCTCCATTGCGGACACCTCTGCTGGAGCTGCCTTTGCCGGTAGAGCTCTCCGGCACGTCCTCAATGGGTGTGCAACACTCCGAAGAGGTGCGCTTCCTAGAGTCCTTGTCAGAGGTCTTGCCGGTCTTCTTCTCCACCTCGGGAACTTTGCCGGCAGGAGCAAGTACCTTGGCGGCAGATGCTGCAACTGCTTCCCGGTAAAGTTTGTCGGCGCAGATGACTGCGTCTTTCTTGTCGGAATGGATGGTGATGACACTCATCGACCCTGGCATCTTGAGTGTGTGTTGTAGGCGTAATGGGACGCCGCCATGAGTTTGCCAGCGCCGGGCAACCAAGAATTCCATTGTATGGCAATGGAATTTTGACGACGTCGAAGACAATTTTCTCCGTCCTATAGTTCAGTTCACTGTCAAACGTTACCGACAATGTTATCTTCCCCTTGGGTTGACTCCTTCCCGGATTGATCCCTTGAAACATGCGTGTCTGCTCGAGATCTTCATTAGGTATTTGCAGCCTCTTGATCATGTCAGGCGAGATCAAGTTCAAGCCGGCCCCATCGTCAACTAACATCTTTGTCACCTTAAGGTTGTGAATTGTTGGTGAAACCAACAACGACATACACCCGACCGTAGTTATGGGATCAGGGTGGTCCTCGGCGTAAAAAATGATAGGCGCGTATGCTTCTGTGTCTCAATTGCCGGCTCCGCAACATCGATCTCACGCGCTCACTGCTTGAGTTGGCGGTGAGAGGAGTGCAAAGATGCTCCTCCATCAATGCACATGGCTTCTGTAGCCTTCTGGAACTCTTGTTCGTTGGACTCCTCTTCGTCCTTGTCATCATCCTCATCATCCTCCTTGCCATGGCCTCGAGCAGGCTTCTCCTTCTGCTGCTTGGCCTTGCCACGACGACCTCTGCGGCCGCTACGACCTTTCTTGCCGGATCCACCAGGCCCTTCTCCTTATCGCGCTTCTCATATTCAGCTTTCTGCTTCTCGGCAAGTTGCTCAACTTGTCGACACTCGTGGAGATCATGGCTCTTGGTACGGTGGATCTTGCAGTATGGCTTGCCGGGGCTCTCCGTCTTGTCGCCGGCGGCTACCTCATGACCACAAGTGCATCCGGCAACTTCCTTGCCGGAGCCTTCAACTGCCATGATTGCCTTGCCTTTGCGCTTCCTGTTGTGCTTCCAACCTTTCTTTCTTCGGAGTCGATGCGTCGTCGTCTTCGGAATCGACCTCTGCACAACATCTTTCCCGGGAAGTTGCCTCCCCTCTTTCCCGGGAAGAGTCAACTGGTCAGGATGGGAGCGGTCAGAACCAGTAGCAGATCAATCAGACGAAAAGCCAGCCGAACGATGACCAAATCGATTGGACAGAGTCACGATCTGGAGCAGTAGACACCCGGACATGAAACGGCAGCAGCCACTCACGTGACCACGCGAGCGCCAGTAGATAGCCGCGGAAGACGGCAGCGGCGCGGACGAGGCCGGTGGCAGTGGCGGAGACGGGGCCGGCGGCCGGTGGCAGCGGCGCAGACAGGGCCGGCGCCGGTGGCGCCACAGAAGGCAGCAGCGGTGCGGACAAGGCCGGCGGTCGGCAGTAGCGGCGCGGACGAGGCCCATGGCCGGCAGCGACCTTGGAGGAGGACGAGCGGCCAGCGGCTGGATCGATTGGGACCAAGTCCGATAGGATCCAATACTAGCCAGCGGATTCCACGTGAGGGCCAAATCGATTCACAGTGGATTGCACGGGAGGGCAACAACTAGCCAGCGGCTGGATCAACTAACTAGCTTGGATGCGAAGTTCCTATAGCTGGAGATGGACGCATGCAAAAGCAAAATCACGGCCAGCAGAATAGAGAACAATGGCAGCCGTGCAGGAGATTGGATCGGGAGCAGCATGAGTTGCGCGTGCGGAAAAAAATACCTAGAGCTCTAAATACCATGTTTAGAATAGCAACTTGTATTATTAGGAGGCCAAAGCCAACATATATACACATACATGAGGATGCCAAAAGGCTAGAATACAAGAGGCCAAAAGACATCACTAATATAACAGACACGCCTCCAGGATGGGTGTCATTAAAGTTGTATCTTCGGCGGTGAGCTGACACGTGCCCAGACATAACTCACCAAACTACCTGGCCGCTTGACACCTACTTGATAGGCGACTGGCGTGTCGCTGAGGTGGAGCGATGGAGCTGTAGTGGGAGCTTGCCTGGCCTTCGCTTGCCGGCAACCAAAGTCTTGATCTTCAGTACTTAGTACTTCTCAATGACCTGCCTTGAGGTTTTCTTCATGGTTTTATTAACCAACTCTCAAGTCTTGTTTGTAGCTGCCCTCCGGCAAGCCCTGCCGTCGGGAAGGCTACAACTGCCTGTGCACAAGTCAGGGTACTAAGGTACCTATGTCTTGGTACACCGACAGATCCCAAGCGCAACTGGGTATTTATATTACAAGCAGTTAAACTAAAGACTGCTGAATGAGCTACAGTAAACAGATGTGCATGTAGTAAACAGTGTCTCCGCCTTGGGCACCCTAGGCTGTAGATGCTGGGTGACGTGGAGCTTGCTGGTGTGCCGGATAACTGAATCCAGTTGACAGTGTTAATCTTCAGAGACGAAATCCTGACACCAAGCTGGCTAGACCATGGTCGAGACGACACCAAACGATTTCCTGACCCAGCCCGATCAATCCTAGCGCAACAAATCCAGCGGCAAAACAGTGACAGTCTACCCCAAAACATAAAACCAGGACTGCTATATAGTTTCCCAAATAAATCGGAGTACAAAAAGGAATATGGCTCAGCTCAATGTAGTATTGGTAATTTTTGGTATTTTGGACTTTTTGTATAAAACTGCAGAATATTTACTATTTGAACCCTACAATCTTGGTATTCAAGGATAAGAAATGTTGAGGAACATGCCATGGATTCCTGGCTCCCTACCATAGGATCAAAGTCCACATAAGTTGCAAAATTAAATAGTTGCTTACACATATAAAAAAGGGCAGCCCGGTGCATGTAGCTCCCGCTTGCGCAGGGTCCAGGTATTGAGCCAAAAAAGATGAAACATATGCACTAAGAGAAAGCAAATCATCATTTAGATTGGAGGACAACACAATAGAGCTATGTTATAAAGCCCATATATGGTATTGCTGCA